ATAGTAGAGTAGGGTTGTCAGGACACGTCATGAAACACTCACCACTATCATCCTTTCCCTGAAGTCTGTTGGAAATATGATTCTATCTCTAACTAGATCGTGAGCACAGCCGTCTCTCATAATTATGGCCCCTAGGCGCTCATAATATTACCTTATGTAGTTGCGAGCGCCGTAAAATCTTACTAAAACTAACTATCGTAATAATGGTAAAACACTCGGACAATTGATCATTTGATCCAACAGACAAAGGCAGAATTTTTTTTAATGCGTAAAGGCGTGGTGGAATCAGGACCCAACCAATTTTTGGACATGTAGATTTATTTATATCGTCTTGAAGCTTTTTCATTTGTCTTGCATTTGGCGAAAAAAGGTACCCATCAGTCTTGAATAAAAATCGAGATATTTGTGATTGAAGGAGGTGGGGGTCTCCTGGTGTGAGAGGAAAAAAATAGCCAAAATGGCTGCAAAAATTTGGCGACTGGTAAAACTTGAGTGTCCTTGGAAAAGGGAATTTACATTTTCTGTGTCTTTAATCTACACAGAAATGTGTTCTAAAGGACACGTTAAAAACATTTTGAGCCTATCAACAACAAAAAATGGAACAAAACTTTTTAAAATTGCCCGAAGCCTAGATAAATGTCGGTTTCTGTGGCTTCACTATTTTGACGAGCGCCTGATTTCACCACGCTGCCTCACAATTTAATGTATTCGGACCAACGACGTCACATCCCCGCAGCCTTCAGGACGTCATGACGTGTTTTATTCCCCATCACCGCCAGTGACGTGGAGATGAACACGAGCCTCACTGTTTGCTGAGTTATGTGATGACGCAAAACAGACGTACACACCTGAGTCGGACATCTTAGCATCGCGAAGGATCAGTGTTGTATACATTAGATCGTCAGGCCCCCTGTTCAATTCCACTCGGAATCGTGTATCGCTGGTGAACAAAACGTCCATCACGCTGATGAAGTATTCGAACCGACCGTCTGAGGACTCGCCTGAATTATATGCCCACACCATCTGTAGAAGGGATGATACAATAATACTAAACTGTATTATAACAATAGTATTGCTGCTGCTGCTGCTTTTGTTGTTGTTAAGGCAATTATATTGTTATTGTTGGTGTTGTTGTTGTTGTTGTTGTTGCTGTTTTTGTTTTTGCTGGGGTTGCTCGTTTTGCTGCTTCAACCAATGCTGCTGCTGTTGTTGGTCTTTTTGTTATTGCTATGTTGTTATTGCTGTTGTTGTTGTTGTTGTTGTTGTTGTTGTTGCTGTTGTTGTTGTTGTTGTTGTTGACTAATGACAACAGCACCCAAAACAAAAACAAAACAAATAAATAAACAAAAAGTTAAAATAAAAACAACTTCTCTGCCCTCCCAAAGAACAACAAAACACACACCCACACACCCATACACCCACCCCCACACACTCACACACACAAGCACACACACACACACACACACACACACACACACACACACACGCACATACAAGAACACCCACAGAGACACGCGCACACATATAAATGAAAAACAAGCATCTGAAACTACAACAACGAAAGGAACAATATGCATGCCATCATTACCTTTCTGGTCCCCAAGTTTTGCACCACACACCGAAAGATGGCCGTCCCCCCTGGCATCACACGTACTTCTTCCTCGACTGCCTGGACGCTAAGCACGGGCCTTGGATGAGCATCACTGAGCTCTCCTTTAACGTCAAAGTGAGATAGAATGAATCTTTGCATAATGCACACACACACATACACACACACACACACACACAAACACACAC